GGTGACGGTGACGCCGGCGGTTGTTGGGACATGGTGCTTTGGAGAACACCCTGTCTCTTTCCTCCCCGTAGGACATGGAGATCAGCGTCACGGAGCTTCAGACCATCCTCAACCGCATCATTGGCAAACGTGAGCCGCTGGGGCGGGATCTTGGGATTCGCCGGGAAGACAAGTGGAAAACCCTCTTCAGTTGGGGTCAATCCCGTTCACTCCAGTAACCACCAGCTGATTTCCAGATAAGGATCTCCGGACCAAAGGCTTCAGCACCGAGTCCTGCCGCAGCATGGTCAACCTCATGGATGTATCCACCACCCCTTAGCCATGGGCTTGATTTTGGGGGTGCACCACCCCAACCCCATTCCCTATGGATCCCCCATTTTCCTTAACGCTTCCACCCTGCAGAAAGACGGCAGCGGGAAGCTGGGACTGGTGGAGTTCAACGTGTTGTGGAACCGGATCCGTAACTACCTGGTGTGTCCGGGATGGGGGGGGTGTGGAATTCCGCGGGGATGAGACTGGGATTTGGGGGTGTCCCCCCTCTTGGTGACCCCTTGTTGTGTGTTTTGGGGGGCACAGACCATCTTCCGCAAGTTTGACCTGGATAAATCCGGGAGCATGAGCAGCTATGAGATGCGGATGGCACTGGAAGCAGCGGGTATGTCTCTGTTAACGCCGGGATTCTGGAAGGAATTCCCACCTTTCTCACCTCCCTCTGATGGATTTAAGTCGCTTTTATGGATGATTTGATCCCCAAAAGGGTATAAATTGAGCAAGAAGCTCCATGAGTTGATCATCACCCGCTACGCAGAGCCCGACCTCGCCATCGACTTCGACAACTTCGTCTGCTGCCTTGTGCGCCTGGAGACCATGTTCCGTGAGCGCCATTCCCACCCCACAAGCAGGGAAAAAGGGGGAAAACCGGGATTGAAAGCATTGATTCCCTTGCTTTGCTCATTCAGTTCCATAGGAAAGGTTGAAAAACCCCATGGGAGTTGAGGGGAAAGTGGGGAAAAGGGCAAAAAAAGTAGGATTTAAGTTCAAAAGTTAGAACCCCCCCCAAATTTTCCTCTTAAATCCCATTTTTCACTATTAAACCCAGCTGGGAAAAAGTGTAGTGGGAAAAACTGTGGGTTTTCCAACTTTCCCTCCTAAAACCTGCTGTTATTTGCACTTCTTCCTGTTCAACACTGGGGGGGTTCCAGTTTTCCCCTTCAGCTCCTGGGGGGGGTTTCCCAGCTTCTCCCAGAATTTAACTTTTCCATGGAATTGAACAGGAAAAGTGTTAGAAAACCCCATGGGAAAAGTGACGTCTTCCCTGACGTCTCCTCAAATCCTGGTTTTTTTCCCAACTTTTCCCCTTAAGTCCTTCCCATTTTTCTATTTTTCTCCTTAAATGCTGCTGGGTTTTCCCATATTTCCCCTTAAGTCCTATTTCTTCCCAGCTTCTCTTCTTAAATCCTTCCTCGTTTTCCTATTTTTGCCCTTCAATCCTGCTCTGTTTTTCTAATTTTCCTCCTTAAATCCTGCTGGGTTTTCCCAACTTTTCCCCTTTAAGCTTTTTTTTTCCCCCCACTACTTTTCCCCATAAATCTTGGTTTATTCACGACTTTTCCTCTTAAGTTCTTCCCCATTATTCTAATTTTTCCCTTAAATCTTGTTTTATTCCCAACTTTTCCCCTTAAATCCTGTTTTTACCCAGCTTTTCCCTTTAAATCCCTCCCCATTCTCCACTTTTCCCACCGTGTCGCCTCCTGTTCCCTCCTGCAGGGTTCTTCCAAGCGATGGACGTGGACCAGGATGGTGTCGTCACCTTTGACTTGCTGCAGGTACCCCCAACAACACCCCACAGCACCCC